CCGCTTGTGAAAAGTTCTGCTCAAGTCTTGGCTATTGAACAGCGAAAATCGCAGGTCTCTATCTCATTCCTATCAAAAGTTATTCAAAAAAGGCCCACGGGTCTAGTATTTTGGGATGGATAGTAGTGAAAAAACTACTGCATTACACACTATTACCGCAAAATCGACTTTTTATGCGGAGGTTTTCGAGGCTCGACTTACAGTGCAGTCATAAATCTGGCATCACTTTTTTGTTTTGAGGCGTGTATTAAAACTGCACAACAGTAATTTAATTTACAATAAAAAAACAAAGTTTCATTCTAAGAAAAAAATGACATTAAAAAATACAAAATGATAATAAAAATGTTTGGAAGACTTTTTTGTTTTGCAATAGGAATTGTTTATACAGAATTTATAAAGCTTTCGACGGCGCATCTTTTGAAAAAGAATGATTTTCTTAAGCCGAGATACATGCAAAATATAAAAGTATTCCAAACATTTTTATTATGTTAAATACGGTGGAAAGTGGCGCTATCATGTATTTTTTTTCATTTCCAGTGTGGAAGAAATCATTAGAACAAGTTAAAGTTAATAAGGATTTATTCTTACAGTTTTTGTAGTGCTTTTCACGGTGCATCTTTTGAAAAAAAAACCAAGATTTTATCATTTGTCTGTGCAGAGATATTCTCAAAACAAACTATATTGCAAACATTTTGGGACACGCAGTATTTCAGTGTTTAATATTTTGACTACAAGACCGTCATTTCTCAATGAAATCCAAAATACTTTCTTACCAAAGTGATCAGCGAAAAAAGCTCTACAAAGTCTCATAAAATGAAAAGTTTTCTGAGTACTTTGTGTTTTTGGTGGTTGTTCATTCATGGTGGTTTGTTCAGCGTTCAGGGAATTTGAGTAAATGACATCGGAATTTCTCGTGGAATATAATAATTCCTGAATTATGTGATGTTTGAAGGTAGAGTAGAGAAAAGTCGTAAAATTTAGTAATCTCCTATCCATTTCAAAACAGAATGGAAAAAAGTATTCTCTAAATAACTTTTTAACAGAAAGAGTCAGAACCATGCAGTTTCCAGTATTTGATAGAGGAGCTATTGTAAAAGAAACCCTACTATACAATTAATTAATGTTGTGTAGTTTTAATACACGCCTCAAAACAAAAAAGTGATGCGAAACTTTTGACGTGCACTGTAATGTTTTTCGAGATCAGAATCCTTCAAAATGTTGGGCACCAAAAGGGCGTCTTATTCAAATTAAGAATAAAAAGTGAAGTTTTTTCTGGTGTACTTTGCACTGCCTAAATTCGAGATGGCACCACATCATGATTTTTCGCGTCCATAAAAATGACATGGGAAAATTTCATTTTTTTATCCTTAATTTGAATAAGACGCCCGTTTGGTGCCCAACGTTTTGAAGGATTTCGATGTCGAGAAACATTAAGTCGAGCCTTGAAACTCTCCGTATAAAAAGTCGATTTTGTGGTAATGTTGTTTTTCTGTTGATATTCAGTCTCTTCAATCAGATTTTATTCTCCTCCTATTATATGTGTATTTGTTCTCTTTCCTGTCGTCTTCGGTAATCTATATAGCCGATGTAAGGTAAGGGGCATGTAGATCAGTTTTCTTATGAGTAAACTGGGTGAAGAGTGTAATTCCTTCATATACAGCAGGCATCTGGTCTCATCGAACCTATGTAAATCTCCTGTGACTGATTTCGGCGAAGGAGAAAGGAGTGCCTTGCTGTATACAAATTCCAAATTCTATTAACATTTTCAACAATAACAAAATACTACGAAGTTATGCATTCAAGCGCCACACAATAAAATTCTTATTACAGGAAAAAATATGTATACGTTTACCATTGTTGCTCTAGGAGTAACTTCTTACCGTCCGCTCATTTCAAGCTTTTCGTAGAAATGCTGTGAAATAAAAACTAAAACTCACTAAGGCTTCATATTTTCAGAACTGATTGGAAACTGAATAGAGCACTTTTCCGTTTTTGTTTCAAGTTTTTGACTATTGCCGTTTCCAGAAAATTCGGTTTTTGAAAGTTTTTCAATATTTTTCCTATAACTCAGTAAAGAAAAGTCTAAAAAAAAATTCGAAAATTATACCTCTGTGCTATGATCTTGAGTATCCCTAGTAAAATTTTTAACTCGATCGGATGAAATTTAAGGAGGGTCGCATTGTAGTTCAATGAATAATCGAGTTTTCTGGAAAACCAGTGAACAGCAATAGTCAAAAACTTGAAACAAAAACGAAAAGTGAGCGGAGGGGTACCCTAAATAATGTAGTACTCTTTGTCGTCTATACTATTTCGAAACGTATTTTGAGTACTCGAATATGAGTTCGATTAAATTTCTTTTCTGTTCATTCTTTACTCCTACAAAATCATTTTGTCTATAGGGAAATATAACTACAAAAAAAAAAAAATTAATATATTTTCTGTTGAATCAGAATTACAAAAGAGTTTGAATCGAACTCAAATGTTACAACCATCCGCAGTGATATACTTCTATGTTGGAGATCTGATTGAATCTGTCTCTAAATTTTACTGTAGTCTAATTGTCCTTGGAATTATATGTTAAAATACTTTATATACTTCAGAAAATAATAAAAGTACTATTCAATTTTTTTCACATTTTTTACAATAAGTACGGTGTTTCTATCAAAAAATCGTAGTCTATCTTGTCCATCTTGTGAAAAAAATTCCCATGAACAAATTCAGCTACATATTAAATAAACACTTTTACAATTTGTTTACACCTTTCTAATACACATCATGATATTATTATTATGTTTGACAAGCATTGACCGAATAAACAATAGACGACGTTCTTTTTAATATTAACAGACAAGATCAATGAAAATGTCAGTTCGAAATATTCCACGTCACATACAATAAACGTGTATTACCTTAAAATAATATCACATTCTGTTAGATGATCAAGTTTTTCTACTTTAATATCTGTACAGGTAACTTATAACAATTTATTTCTCGTAAAACAAAAAAAATGTTAACTTATAGTAGAGAATATATTTAATTCTATTATTCTCAACACATCTTGTTTAAAGAAGAGTTTTAATTTCATCTAAATACTCATCATGTCTGCAAAAAGCGTAGAATTTTAGCATTATAAATAAAACTCTCTATATTTCATTTTTTTTTTCTTTTTGTAAAATCGTAAAACATCATAGATATGTAAGATTTAATGTTATAAAATGGCTGATTGTTTTTTTGACATTTATGCAGTGAAGATAAATAGAAAAGAGAAAATATCCTCTATATAATATTCTATATCATATACGCTCTTTATTTTCTAGATATATATGGTGTGTTGTTGATGAAAAAAGAGCAGACCAAACAGGAAAAAGAAACACACGTAATTTTCCAAATATTATAAGAAGAAAATAATAAAAAGAAGAAAAAAAAGAAAACGAGACATTCATTAGTTAAACATATACAGTAGAGATTATTGTTTTAAATTCAACGGAAAATTAGCATGAAGACGCTCAGATGTTTTCTTTCTCAACCGCGCTAATAGCAAAAAAAATTTTCTATTACATTTCTTTTACTTATATTGTATCATATTCGACCTTGTTTGTATAAAAAAAAAAGTTCTTCTCTATCATCGTCTTTCTTTTTTTTTCTGTGTGTGTGTATAGATCGTATCCATCACCATTAGAAAAGAAAATTTATCGAGTGATTCACAACCTACTATTAGTGTTGATATTCATAAGAACAATCAATACAAAATTATATATTTGGATATATACGAGGTTTTTTTTCTCGATGTATTATCCATTCTTAGAAACGGATGGAAAAGAGAAAGAGAAAAAAAAAATATCGGTGTACATAGACATAAACACTCAGATCAAGGGAAAACCACAAACAACAATAACATCGATATAAAGCTACATACCATATGTCGATCGTAATTAGACCAACATAATTGACAGTAAAAAGAGGAAATAATCACACATACACAAGAATCAATAGTTTTCTCTTTTCGGTATGTATATACAGTGTACGCTTGTTATATTCATTTTTTTTGATATAAAAATACTAAAATTTAAAAGGTAGATAAAACAATTTTTCTAAGATTTTTATTGTTAAAATTTCTCTCATCCTTTATTAGTAGAGTGTCACTAAAATTGTTATCTTTCACATCTTGATTGACTTTTATTTGCTGTCACACAAATTGTAACGAACATTTCTTCATGTAAACATCAGTCAGAGAAGTAAACGTGTTTTTCGCCTCCTTTCAACATAATTTAAGTCTATTTGTTTTATCTAATCTGAATGATATATATTTCTCTCTTTAGACAACATTAATCAACAGATAATGTCTCAATTTGTAACAAAAGCTTGTGATATACTCGATTGTTACGAGGGTCGCGATGCTGCCATCACTTTTACACTTTACTTTTGTTGTCTAATTAGTGGATTTTATCCTCGTAAAAGTAAATTACATCGTAGTCTACAGAGAATTTATAAAAGACTCGACGATTGTAGGGTAGTACTACGATTGTACGATGATATCGCAATTATACGAGATATGTTTACCTATGAATTACGACCGGGAGTAAGTTTATTATTATAGATCAATTATATTATCATTTGTAACTATTTTTATTATAGGAGAGAAATTTTCTTGTACGATTTTTAAAATTTGCTCACTATATATCATGGATATGTTATTATCCCAGTGAGCATATAGCATGGTTAGGTGAAATGAAAATGTTGAATGTCGATGTAGAACTTTGGCTCTTTTACACAAACTTCTTCTGGTCATCCGCACTTCTCACTTCAGCAGTATGGTATGTTTTTCGCATTTTACATTCACAATTCCATTTCTAAGTATCTCATTTCTTCTAGGAACGCATACGTTGTTCTACTATATTATACTCAACAAGGACTTACCAAAGAGGAACAAGAAGAAGAGTAAGTAACTTTACATTTTTCATTATAAAAAAAATCAATATTTTTTTGTTTTCATTTAGAAAAAAGAATTTTATACCATGGACAGCAGCGCGCAAAGCAGTATTAGCCACAATTCGTGATGGTAGTGAATTTGTTGTTGCTGTCCATTATCTCCCACGAGGATACTTGTGGGCATCCAGTCTCACCTATATTCAAGTCGGATTATTTGGTACTTGCTCCGCCTTTATGAGACTCTATGCTTTAGCAAATTTTCATGAACATTAAAATTGATCGATTTTTAACTTTTCACTTACTAGTCATATCGATTTTTAATACCTTGTTGTGTTGGTATATGTCTCCTTGATAGTCAACAAATTCTGCTACTTCGAAAATAATATGAGTAAACAGCTACTCAGAAGTATTTTCAAAGTATAGCTAAAAGTTAAAATTTCCGAGTGATATTGCACTAGTAGCGTCCTTCTTTTGGATAAAAAAGCAAACAGTAGTAATTGAATATCTCAATTCATATAAAAAATATATGGAAACAAAATAAATCGACGTCTAAGCTATTGATATTTGTGATTACACTTGACTCGCATATTCAGAACAAAATTCTGAACCATCTTTCAATGAGAAATTTACCTATAGAGCACCAGTCAACGACAGATAGTCGAGAACAGATTCTAAGAACTTTAATGTATCCCACTTTATAAAGTATAATGATGATTCATTCTTTTTGGACATGAAAATCATGAAAGAAATGATCCCGTAACTTGAATAAATTCGATGAATACAATATTCTTATACTCTCTAGCTGTATAGTACTTACATCCTATTTTAACTAGTATAGAAAGAAAGACGACAAAAGAAAATGCTTGTACCGAATTCGGTTGTGGATGAACGTCGAAGAAAATAAATTTGGACAGAAAAACTAAAATAAAAACAAAACATGAAAATTCAATCAAACGTTTCATTCAGTTCAATTCAGCCACTCATCGTAAGAAATGTTTTGTTGAGATCTGTTGTCGAATTGCTTATTCTCTATCTTAAAGGGATTTGGGAAGAAATCTTCGTTTCACTAGATCGGGCATGTCCAGTTTTTTCATGACATTTAATTTTATTGTTCTTATCATTGTGATTGACTGTTTAGCTACTTATTCCATTTGTTTTACACAATTATGTGAAGCTACTTGATTTGTGTTATGATACCTTGAAACAAAATCTTTTTTTAACTGCAGTAGTCGAAAAGAATCAAAAGAGTATATACTCCTTTCCTTCTCCACCGACTCGCCCAACCTTGCTGCTACAACTAATTCATAAATAAAAATTTACTTTTTAAGAGTTGCAGTCGAACTTTTTTAATCTGATTAAAAAAATCAGAGCCGTTCTATCTTCTGAATCAACGAAAAGTTGAACTAGTTCTGTAACGATATCATGGAAATGTTAAAATACACACAAAGTCTCTTCCAATTCATCCTAAAATAATAGCTTCTTTTCGTATAGCTTTCTTCACATTCTCCTTTTATCACTAAAACAGCTTCGAAATTTAAAACCTGCCGCTATTACACAGTGGCCACTACTACCCAATATCAAGTTGGATCACCAATATCATTCTGTTTGTGCGCACTTTTGCATGAACGCAAACATCCAACAATTAGTATTTATTTTGCTACTAGTACCAATGGCGACGGCTGGTTTCCATCAATTGAGGCTCAGCCTCACTTCATTTTGAACTGAACACTCTGTCAAAATTTGTAATTTTCAAGACCTGTTATATGTTTGTGATGTTTTTTGCAAGAGGGAAAAAAGCGGACTTCAGGACCTCGAAGTCTCCTGAAGTCCCATAAAGTCTGCCGGAGTCCCTTAAATACACTTTGTTATAGTTCTGTACGGTGTATCTTTAATGATGTGCATCTCTAACCTATCCGACTACTTTAATGTTTTTGGAATCTCATTTTGAAAAATCATCGGGAATTTCACCAAAAAATGAAAATCAACTAAAAGTTTCGAAATGCGCATCATTCGACTCAGTTTTTAATTCTGATTCTGAATATGATATTTTTATTACACGAAAGTTGAGTTCTGTTAAAGAAAATCGAGAATTACAGGCAGAATTTCGACTTTTTTTCTCTGATTTAGAAAAAAAGAATTTTCTCAGCAATAAAAAGGAATTTTAAAAAATGGCTTTACACTTTTGTTGTCCGTGAGAAGGCAAATCGAATGTGGTAGAAACTGGAATCAAAAACTAATTAAACGCAGATGAAAAATGTTGAAAAGAACCGAACATCATTGGAGATTTCCAGAAAACCCTTTCAAAAGCCCTCTTACATTCATATCTGAAATCTCGCAAACCCTTAAGTTTGTTTAGTTTTTCACGCACTATTTAATGGTGTATTTGAACGTATCTGTTGCTATGAAAAATTGAGAAATTTTGGTTTTAAAAAAGGTTGAACTTTTAGACTTTAAAATTTAAATTTAAAAGTAAGGAAAAGATATTTTTTGATAATTCTTTTTTCAGAATGTCGCTGAAACATTTCTCTACATGATGCAATTATTAAAAAAATTTTCAATTTAAAAATAATATCAGGAAAATTTTTTATTAAAAAAGGAGTTCCCAAAAACCATGGTTTTCTGGAAGTCCTACTTCCCAATTTCTACAAACGTTTCAACATCACCACTAGAAAGGCCATGGTTTGAAACCTCTACGCCCCATGTTTCATTAACTTTGATTTAGGGCTTCATTATGAAACAAGCTTCAACTTTTTGATCTAACACGCCTATTGGGGTTTTTCCGATATTCATTATACTCACATACTCAGCTTCTGCTTAGCAAAGCCTTTTTTCTATATCGTATCGGAGTCCAAAACTAGATACGGATTTCTGGACTTCATGGAACTTCACGAAGTCCGGGAGTCCCGAAGTCCGCTTATTCTTCCTTGGGTTTTTGTCTGACAAGAGACACAAAATATCCACTTTCAGGTAAAAATTCGTGGTGGTGGTCTCACGATTGGATTTAGAAAAGAATAGCAGTATAACAGCAGCTGATTTAATCTTGATGTAATACTTTCCGACGTTTCGATTTTATTAGAAAGTTATTTTCAGGATTATCTGTCCACAAATACAAACTTTATAAAAAAATAATGAAGTAGGCTATTTATAAGTAGTACAGACCAATTTTCTTTTCCTTTCTTTCTTTACTTTTTCACATCCTTTTTGTACAGTACAAGTCATCCGTTGACTCGAGTATATCTTTTTCCGCATCTACATCAGACTTTTCATCAGAGAGTATACTGCAACCATCTTAGGGTAATAGTAAAACATAAAGACATCAACAGACACCCACTCCTGCAGATGTAGAAGTGGATGTCTGTGTGCTCTATGTGCAGCTGTCTGTGGGTGTCTTCATGTTTTACTAATACCCGACTATCTTGTTGACATATGGCCCGACTTTGCCCGAAAACCGTGTCAGTTTCTTTTTAAAAATTTGTGTAGAGTTCGCAGCATATGGGACTTTCATCTAGATCCGTTTCTTTTTCAAGTCTGATCATAAGTGCATTAATGTCTTTCTTTCCACTCTTTTCTTTTTGAAACCATTTTGTAAGCCCTATTCCGATTCGTATGTTTTCTGAGTATTCAATCTACTAGCATGATCATATCCTGAGGTTCCAAGCGGTTTGATTGAGTTTTGAGGAAGATTGAAATATTTTATTTTTGTATAATTGCAGCTAAATTGATGGTGTATTTTCTTCAAATTCAGTTATGTATATAAGTCAAACAAAATAAAAGCATTCAATTTCATACTAAAAGAATTATAAATATTAAGTAAAATACTGTATTTTGTAGAGGATTGCCGACTCCTTGAAATGAGAGACTAGATTCGACAATTGTAGATTGGTACACTGCAAGTAGATTGATAAAAAGTGCATCTTTATATGTTATTGACTATCCTCTACAATATAACAGTGTTATTTTTAACGGAATTTTGACAAGTTGAAGTGCTCTTTCTTCCTAACTTTCAACGCTTGGTGTATCTTTATTCACAGAACTAACTCAGCCAGTCCCCCTAACGGTACTTTTTATGTCAAAGTTGAAGTGCAAATTCCGCTAAACATAAAATAGATAGTTACATAAGCATCCACCTAAGCATGAAAAATGTATCGAGTATCGCCCGATGTAGCTAGATATACTAGATACAAAACGCGATACATCTAGATGCGTGAAAAAGTTGAATCGGATTATCGGCCAATACATCCAGATACAGCCGATTCTTTTCTAGATGAACATCTCCTTCACAGTGAAAATTCGGGAAAACCACTTTTTTAAAGCTAATTTTCAGTCTCCCACCGCGAACAAAATAGTTCTCAAGTTTGAATTTGGAACAGAATGTGTAGCAAATTTAGTTTCTGAATTTTATCTGCCAGGCTCAGCTTTGTACAACTAGATCTTCAAGATAAAAAACACGAAACACCATTTTTTAGTCTGAAGACCAACTTTTAGAGACCCAACACCAGTAGAAAAATTTTAAGAAATTAAATTTCCAGCATTTCATGTTCCAGACTCAAGCCTAATAAATGCTTCCATCATGGTGAGAAACGCTTATTATTGTTAATTAGTTATTTTAAATTTAGTTATTTCTATCCATAATAACAAGAAGAGAATGAAAAATGTATATCTATTTGTGTAAGCTCCTGTGGTACAATGGCGTAGATAGAAGACTACTGATCTCTAGGTACAGAGTTCGAACTTCAGCACGAGCAATGTTTCTTTCTTCCTTTTTTTTCACCTCGATTTACAACTAATTAAACGCTTTTTATATCTAGCGATTCTTTTTTTTAAACAGCTAGACGAATCGTACGCTTAATCCCTAGATGTACCTAGTTCTTATTGTTTTCTATCAACCATAATTTCTTACTAGATGCATCGGATATTGCATCGTGTAATCGAGTAAAACCCGATGCATCTAGATAACCCGATATTTTTTACTCTTTCATCTAGATACTTTTGCTGGAGTATCGAGCGATACCCTAGCAAGTGTATCTAGATTTTTTCGCTTACGAATTTATGCTTGGGCACGAAAAAACTATTATCTGAAGATCCGATTTTTTGGAGCTAGAGTCCTCCTATCATGACTTTTTTGTTACCACTTACTATACCATTACCATCCATAGAAATTTTTTTACCATTACCATCATCCTGAATGTTTTATCGTTACCATTACCATTACCACGGTAATGGTAATGGAATTCCCATGGTAACGGAACATATTCCCACAGAAGGGAAAGAAA